TGAGATGTAAAATTGAGTATCATCTTCAAAGAGCTTAGTTAAAAACCTAGTTTTTAAAAACTTAGTTAAAAGCCTAGAAACACTGAACAAGGTGTTCTAACATTTCTTGGTTCTTGGACTTCAAGAACCATCCATGAAATTCAAGATATTGAAAAAAGAAAACCTGTTTCCCAGAGCATCACACATCACATTATATAATGGGGACCACAAAGCAAGAGAAAGCATGGATCGCATGCTTCTTTCTAGCTAGTGCTTGACCGTTTTTATTTGTAACAACAATTGGCAACCATCATGAAAAACTGATGATCCCAGTTACTTCATAAGTATATTTTCTGCAGTGGGTTTTGGTCACTGTCAGATGGGATATTTAGAGGAATGAACCATGGGGACATTCTTCAAGGGCTCACAGTTGATCCTGACAGATGTGCAGTAATTGAGATCCAGTGTAGCATGCTGTAATCGAGATCTGTAGTAGTGTTTATTCACTTTCATGCATACAGCACTTTGAAGAACTCCTGATGCATAGTTGATATCTGATAAGTAGATTTTTTTCACTGAGTGAAAAGTAGTAGTGTCTCATTGAAATACACATTTTTGAAGGTATCAAAGAAAACCTACCACCAGTGTTTCCATCCTTCTTGCCAGTAGTATCATTCTAATTTCTGCCTTCCCTGTCTTCCAACAATCTATTCACCTACCAGGTTCCATGAGTAAGTATTAAGTTTATTTTTCAGTGTATCTACATCATGAATTAATGAATTGGATAAATATTTAAATGGATGAATTAATCTAAATTGCTCAAAAATTTTCCCCAACAAGCTATGCTCTCTCTTGGAGATATTTCCGTATGGTTTTGACCTTTGCGGGGATGATTTTCACTTCTTTACTGAGCTAAATTCTTTCCATATGTCAGCTCAGGCAGCATTTCTTCTGTGTAGCCTTCTGCAAGGATAAAAGCTCATTTAGGTTTGACCCATCCAGCATTGTTGTAGGTCTATATAGTTGTCTGTTTCCTTATATACCTGACAAACTCTGTCAGGCTAGGAACTGATAGCTAATCACTATTGTATTCCCAATGTCCATCAGACTTGCTGTTCAGAGAGACTCTCAATAAGTCAATTCATGATTTAAAAAATAAATCTTTTAAATATTAACTTTGTATTCTAACATGAGATAAAATCAGTGCTTGAAAAACACTACAAGGCCGGCGCCGCGGCTCACTAGACTAATCCTCCACCTTGTGGCGCTGGCACACCGGGTTCTAGTCCCGGTCGGGATGCCGGATTCTGTCCCGGTTGCCCCTCTTCCAGGCCAGCTCTCTGCTGTGGCCAGGGAAGGCAGTGGAGGATGGCCCGAGTACTTGGGCCCTGCACCCCATGGGAGACCAGGATAAGTACCTGGCTCCTGCCATCGGATCAGGGCAGTGCGCTGGCTGTGGCAGCCAATGGAGGGCGAACCAACGGCAAAGGAAGACTTTTCTCTCTGTCTCTCTCTCACTGTCCATTCTGCCTGTCTCTCTCTCACTGTCATCTGCTGTCGAAGAAAAGAAAAGAATAAAGCCTACAACATCACTATATGTATATGATCCATTTCAAAAAATATCTTTTGACTCCTTTGGGATAATTATCCAAGAATAAAGTATATTCTGTCACTTTGGCACTTACAGTGTCTCTTTCAGAGGATAAAAGATTCTTAACAAGCATATTACAGTTAGCTCTGCTGAAAGGTAAATAGAAATGAATTTGTCAATGGCACATGATAATTTAAAATATTATATAGAGGCTTATTCTGAGCTCTGGTTGCTGTATACCTGAGGAGAACCACAATTTTGATTTGCCTCCATGTAAATAACTCTAAATTATTTCAATCCTTAATGTGTTCTCAAAAGAGTCCTCTTGGGACTGAGCTATGTTGGCTGACTCATAGAAATAATTATACACAATTTAGCCAAATAGAAACTCCTCACTGAGTTGTGCACAATATTTCTCACCATTAAGGAGATTTTTCAGGCAGGGTATTATTATCCCTATGCTATAGATGGAGAAATTAAGAATTGGAGCTTGTTCAGCCTCACTAAAATAGTAACAAAGGTTTCAAATCTAGGGCAGTCTCCTTTGAAAGCCTATATCCTCCGCTGGTCACTGACCGTCTACCACTGAGGAAGTTCTCGGGGAAAACAGAAACCTGAAGCAGAGATCAAATGTTCATGGAAAGTAACTTTAGCACTGAATGACACAGAGCTGGCAATGTCAGACATACCCTGGAGGAAGGGAGTTTGTCAAGCACACTTTATCATGGTTGTAAACTTAGGATTCAAAAGCCCACAGCATATTTTACTTAATCCTCAACACAAAGAACCTTCTATCAAAAGTTAGTCTTTTTCTTATATTTCATCCATGAAAATAATGAGATCTACTTGTAGTTTGATGCTAATTTATACACAGCATCTCATCTGAGGCAAATGCAATGCTGAAAAAAAAAAAAAGGTACTGTGCCATGAGGAACTTAAGCTGAGAGTGAAGAGGCTTAGGTGAGCCAATTAAGGAGCAGGACAGCCACAAAACCTAGTGGCCTAAGCTCTGCATTATTGTTTCCCCTGTCCTCACCTGTGTATGTTGTTATTTCTTCTTCCTTCTACCAACTTAATAAAAATAAAGATTTGCGAACAAGGTAGAAGATCCCTCCAACATGCTGGTTACTGGATCATTGTGATTCCAGGACATGAAATTTGAAGGGTGGAAAAAGAAGGGAATCTTACAGATATGAAAAGGCAATAACTTTCAGTGTCTTTAGTATTTCATTAACACTTGCTAGCAGATATCCCTGACAACTCACCCACAACTGTGGCTCCTGTTGTGACAGAGCATGGAGAAGAGTTGAATCAATTATTGATAGAGCAGCTTTCTCTGAATTGGCACAGATCCCATGGAAAGAGTGATGTGCCAATCTGGCAACTGTTCTGTTTTGCACAGCAACATAATACAAAGTTGTTGGATGTTCTCATGTTTATTGTACGAGATCCTTTCTTTCTTAAAGTTGTGTTTCTAAATTATTCCAAGAGCTATTCAGGAAAACTGCAATAAGATTATTATTGAGGTTCCACAATTGTTTTAAATAGTAACTGAGAAACTCCCCATTCTTAGCCTTGTGAATTCAAGGCAGGACTCGCAAATTCCATGGTTTCCTCTATGCTTCTGACAATACTTTGTGGTGATGAGGTGATGATACCACGAGTCTTTGGCAGGTTTCCTCTGACCTGTCTTCCTCATCCATCATCATACAGATGTGACTCCATTCACTTCAAATATCCATGTTTTCTGATAATTTTATCAAGTTATTCATGAGGAAAAACACAGAGGGTTTTTTTGACAGCTATTTTTAAGTCATTTCTCAAGCCATCACTGTCTAAACCTTAAAATAGCAGGTGTGATATACCTAGCAAGGCACAACTTTAAGAAACAAGCTTAGTAAGGCACAACCTGATGTTTGTGTTGAACAGAGAATTACCAGGAGCATTTGATTTAGGATACTCTATGTCAATTTTAAAATCATCTCTACAATACATTCTGGATATTTCTCTTTGAAAACTGTTTTCAGAAACAATAGTATGCACATAGTATGAATATATGAATAGTTTCAATAAAAGAAATATTTAGCCTTTGAAAGTTAATGTCATTTCACTAATTTTTAAAAATTTATTTAGTTGTATTTATTCGTAAGACAGTCAGAGACAGGCAGAGACTGACAGAGAGAGATCTTCCATCTGCTGTTTACTTCCCAAATGGCCACAACAGCCCGCTGGGCCAGGTGGAACCCAGGGTTCTGGAACTCAATCCAGGTGTCCCATGTGGGTGGCAGGGCTCAAGTACTTGGGCCCTTACCTGCTGCCTCCCAGGATGCACATCACTAGAAAGCAGGGACTGGAGTCAGAACCAGGACACAAACCCAAGCACTGCAACATGGGTTGCAGGCGTCCTAAGTGACATCTAGGCTGACGTACCAAATGCTTGCCGTAAAAAGCTGGCCTTTCTCCAGAAACGTGGCCTCTGAGGCAAAAGCTATTTTCATAGTTCCTATAACATCCAGTCAATCAGGATGTCCAACAAACTCTTATTTCAGCCTCTCTAAAATGAAACTCATTGTCTTCCTCTAAACCAACCTAGTTTTCCCGTTTCATCCTTTATTCTGAGATTGGCATTATGTGTAATATGTATTTTGAAAATTAAGATGACCTATTATGGACTAGACATGTACAAGATTCTTCTAAGGGCTTTCTGTCATTTAAATCTCTATGCAGTGAAAAATGTTATCTGATAACAATGTACAGTTTCAGAGAAGGAGGGTAAAAAATGAGATTGTTCATTTTTAGGAAGCATGATCCTGTTGACAAACATAAATGATCATCAAAAGTGCCAGAAAGGGCTGGCGCTGTGGCTCACTTGGTTAATCCTCCGCCTGCAATGCCGGCATCCCATATGGGTGCTGGATTCTAGTCCCGGTTGCTCCTCTTCCAGTCCAGCTCTCTGCTGTGGCCCGGGAGGGCAGTAGAGGATGGCCCAAGTGCTTGGGCCCCTGCACATGCATGGGGGACCAGGAGGAAGCATCTGGCTCCTGGCTTCTGATCGGCAGCGCTGGCCTTAGCGACCATTTGGGGAGTGAACCAACGGAAGGAAGACCTTTCTCCCTCCCTCCCTCTCTCTTTCTCTCTCTCTCTCTCTCTCTCACTGTCTACAACTCTGTCAAATAAATAAGTAGAAAAAAATTTTAAAAAAGTTGCAGAAAGCCGTGTTGTGACTATGATCATTTTATTTTTGTGGGAAACAAGTACGTGAGTGTGGAGAGCTAGTTGGACCCACTTTGACTTATCAATCTAACATTACTATTTTAGATTCTGCAATCCCATGACAGGTACTTTGAGAGAACAAGTCAGGATGCAAGCTTCATGCAATTCAGACATTGACTAGGGGATAACTGGGATGCCCAGCCTTTCCAACTGGTACCTGTCTTTGATTCTCTGTCTCCAGGCGTAGCCTGGCCTCCACACACCTCCGCGTTTCCAGGAAGGCTTGACGCTGGGCCCGGTCTGAGAGGTAACTGATGAAGATTCCAGCCGTGTTCATACACATGAATAGCACTGCCTGGGCCACAACCTAAAACAGAATTTCAAACAGTCTGGTCAGGTAAGTAAAACAAAAAGTGATGGGAAGTAAAGAGAAAAAAAAAAAAAATGGGCCTTGCCTATAATGCTGCTGAGTGAGGGTGTTTTTACATTTTTGCTTGTTGAACTCTTTATTAATGGAGCCTTAACCTTTTGACTATAATGTAAATTAAAAGCATGTTATCCCCAAAACTAAAAAGGAAGGAAGGAAGGAAAGAAAGAAACAGAGAGAGAAAAAGAGAGAAAGGGGGGGAGGGAGGAGAAAGGGAATTGTCACATTCTTAGAATTTTATCTATGAACTACACTGAATCTGTTCTCTTTGTATTAATATCACATTAACATGAGAATTGATGAGAGTTGTGTTATAGTAATTATGATACATTTTCTATGACCCCGAGAATCTAATTTGCCAATAATTCCTTAACATTTTCTCAAGGTAAATCTTTATGTAGTAATCCAAATGTTTTAAGCATGCTAATAGAACTATGCCTTTCACTCAGATCTTGAGTGAAATACCATCTGTTCAAAGATGTCTTCCTAGGCCACACTATCTGTTAAAGCCACTTCCTCTGCAAGTTTTGACTTTGAACTTGTATTGGAAACTTTAGGCAAGATTGGAGCCTGGTTGGCTTCTCTCTTCCTTATGCTGCCTCAACTTCCCCCTTCACTAGCTAAAGTCTATGAGCCTAAAGGGCTGGGGAATCAGTTGTGGGGAGGTGGGGGGGAAAAGAGATTAATAAAATAGAGGAAAGTTATCCACTGAAGGGAAATACTGTATTTTGACTTTAGTGCCCTTATGTGCCTTGGGATAGAATCCAACTCTTCTTTCCAATTCAAGAGAAGATATCAGATTTGTCTACTACTTAATCTTTGGCATCAAATACCTTTGCTGTACTCTCAAATTGGGCTTTGTAATTTCACGTTTTCTCACTTCCAAACTACTCTCAGTAAAGAAACCTGGGGAAGAGAATCAATATGTGGAAGAAAGGAACATTACAGTGTCAGTCTCCTTATTTTTATGACTTTAATCTGAGGGCAGATCATAGTTGGGTCAGAGTGCGGTAGCTGAGGGTCAAATAGAAAATTCAGGTGAGCTTAAGAAGCAAATAGCATCTATAGCTGCTGGAAAGTGATGGAAGAATCCAATAAAAGAGAGACTAAGTGTAAGGGAGCCTGAATCATACACTACCTGGAAGACAGCAAGCAGTGGTGGTAAGGATAAAAGAACTGAACTGAAAATTGAACTGCAGTTCAAAACACAGATTTCTATTTGATTTCAACAAAGTTAATTGCAGCCTTAAAAAAAGTCACCATCCCCAGGGCAATGTGAGAGGATCGAGCCTCTTAACCCAATGGCTTTCACAATGTCTTCAATATAATACAAAAATACATGACATAGGCATACATATTAAACAACAAACATTGAAATTACACTCTCAAGAGAAAAGATAATCAACAGATGGCTATTCTCAACTGATACAGATGCTGAATTAGCAGAGAAAAATGACAGCAACTCTGACAACTTTTCCCAGTGATATAACAACAAACGTGCAAATAATGAATGAAAATAGAGGAAATAAGCAGAGAAATAGAAATCACAATAAAAGGAAAGTCTAGAACTGAAAAATACAATATCGGAAACAAAAACATTAATTAGATGATATTAACATCAGAATGTAGAGTATAGAAGAGTCCATAAACCTGAAGTTGTGATATAGATAATGCCTATTCTGAAGAAACAAGAGAAAAATATTTTAAAAGGGTTTTAGTGATCTGAGTGACAATATTTAAAGGTCCTACATATAAATAATTGGATTCTCAGAAGGAAAGAAAGAATGGGAGACAATAATTTGTTTTAAGAAATATTCAGTATAATTCTATAAATTTTATAAAGACATATTTATAAATTCAGGAAGCTCAAAATACACACAAGATAAATGTTAATACAAACTATGCTGTGTACATCATAGTCAAAATGCTGAAAAGCAAAGAAAATCTTGGAAACAGTCAAGGAAAATGTTACACAAAGGGGACCTACTCTTCAATTATGATGATATTTTCAAATAAGACAAAAATAATTCAGCTAATATTTGTAAGAGATAGTCCTAAAATAAAGCAATATAAGAAGTTTGAAAGAAAAAAACAAAATAAAAGTGATTTTGCTGTTTAAGTATCAGATATAAGAGAATTTAAGAAATGAGGTATTACTAGAGATAAATGGGCCACTAAATAATTACAAAAGGTTTACTTAACCGGGAAGATTTAAAACTTTGAACTTGGATCCATTTAAGAATACAGCTTCAAAATATATGATGGAAATAGGATTTTCATCTTTGTAATTATTTACAAATCTATTTTAGCATAATTTTCAACAGTTAATATACCAACTGGATAGAGAAGTCATCAAAGATAGATAATTCAAATAGATCCGACAATTAATGATTTTGAAATGGAACATAATACCCCACAATTAGTAAAATAATCTTTTTAGGTTATAACAAACATTTGTAAGAAATGTGCGCACAGTGGGTCTGAAGCTAGCCTCAGGAAATGAAGTCAAAGAGAAGGAAACAGAAACCTCAGGTTTGTGTTTGCAAGATGATGCTGATGAAGATAAAGATGAATATGAATTTTAATCATGGAGAAGTGGAAATCTTATACAAGCAGAAAAATTTTTAAGAATATTATTTAGAAGAACAACTTTTTAAAATTATTTAAAGGAGCAAATGAGCCACAAATTAAAAATAATTCTTTAGCACAGTTGGTTTAAGGACAGCAAATTTGTTATTTAAACACATAACTGTACATAATATGAAAGCATCAAAGGCCTGGTGATTTTTACACAGTTGTGAAGATCTACAGGAATGATATGGGTAATCTCTACCAGTGTTGGATGATGATGTAAATGGTAGGGTGTTCAGAAATTTATTCTGGATTATAATCTGCTGATAACATTTCATTAAATGACAGAATTGCCAGGACTCTCCTAAGTCTCAGCTATTATGGATGGGTTGTTAGATAGGAAGAAATATATTTTTTAAGATTTTATTTATTTATTTGAGAAGTAGAGTTACAAACAGAAATAGGGAGAGACAGAGAGAAAGGTCTTCCATCCGCTGGTTCATTCCCTAAATGACCACAGTGGCCGGAACTGAGTGGATCTGAAGCCAGGAGCCAGGAGCTCCTTCCCTGTTTCCCACGTGGGTGCAAGGGCCCAAGAACTTGGGCTGTCTTCTATTGTTTTCCCAGGCCATAGCAGACAGCTTGATCAGAAAAGGAGTTGGACTGAAATGGAACCAGTGCCCAGGTGAGAGGGTGGTTCTGCAGGCAGAGACTTAATCCTCTAAGCCACAGAGCAGGCCCCAGCAGGAAATATTTGTAATTAAAATACTCTTTTGTTTTCAAGAGTTGTCTTTGAAGAAAAGTAAATTTATTTTAATTTTTTACTGTAGAAAGAGTCCAATTCTATTCAATCTAACTTTTTTTCTTTTTTTAAAGATTTAATTCTTACTATTTGAAAGAGTTGCAGAAGGAGAGGGAAGAGATACAGAGGGAGAGAGACTTTCCATCCACTGATTCACTCCGCAAATGGTGCAATGGCCAGGGCTGTGCCAAGCTGAAGCCAGGAGCACAGAGCTTCTTCTGGGTCTCCCATGTGAGTGCAGGGGCCCAAGTGCTTGGACCACCTTTGCTGGTTTCCTGGGTGCATTAGAAGGGAGCTGGAATGGAAATGGAGCAGCCAGGATACAACTGGCACCCACATGGTATGAGGCATCACAGGCACTGGCTTAACCTTCTATGACACAATGCTAATCTATTCCATCTAAATTTTCTTCAGGTTTTTTTATATGCAATAATACCATTTCAGTGAAAATTGTAACAAACTCAGCGTTATTAATTGCTATAAAATAATGGTAGCTAGCCCTGTGGTATTTCCATTTTCATCATATTAAGGCCTGTACTTTTCCTGTTATTGTTCTTTGCTTCGCCACTTAGTGAGCATTGGTTCGGTTGGTTCCTTGTTTTTTTCAGTAATATTTTCAGAATGTAAAAGGTTTTCACATATTGCCTCTTTCTTGTCCCCTTTTATTCCTCTTGCCTATTTATTAATAGGCTTGATGTGCTGATTATTAAGATAAGTGATTTCATTTTGGCCACCAAAAGTCAGTCCCCAACAAAAGATTTAAACTAACAAAATCAACAATAAAAGAAAATTTCAAAGAACTAGTGTTAAAAACTACAGTTAATGACTACAATTAATAAAGTTACAGATAAATGTAAAATGAAAACCAGGAAAACACCAAGTGTTTGAAAGTTTAAAATATTTTTAAATAGCTCAATGACTTAAGAATATAACATAATGGGAAGTATGTATAGACAAAGAATAATGAAAATACCATAGGGTAAGGAATCAATAGTCACAAAAGTTTCATTAGAAAAAGGAGAGAGTTTGAAATGCATGTCTAACCATTCAACTTAAGAAATTAGCAAAGCTAAAAGCAACATCACACCACAGAAAGCAAGAACTTGAATAAACTCAAAGTATGTAGAAAAAATAAAATAGAATCAGCAGGTAATGAAATACAAAAACAAGTATACATTAAATAAGATCAATAAAATCAGTAATTTGCTCTCTGAAAAGACTGTTTTTCTTAGAAGCTTAATAAAGACAAAAAGAGAAAAGGTACAAATATACGATATTAAGGCAAGGAAATTAGATGATTAAAGATATTGCAGAAATCAAAGATAATAGACTATGAACTATAATGCTAATACATAATCTTAGATGGAATTCAGACATTTCTGAAAATATATCCTTACCAAAGCTGACTCAAGAAGAAATGAGGAAAATTAAATAAATGGAATCATAATTAAAAATCTTTCCACAAGGGAAGCAATAAGCTCTGATGGCTTCATCAGAGCACTCTGCAAGTAATTGTGGAATAAATAATTTAAATTTTCATTATCTCTTCCAGACAATAGAAAACAGA